CTCTGCCAGCAGAGCAAGCAGCACCAGGAAGAGGCGTGTGGCTGGGGAGACTCTTCGGCGTACCTGGAGGCCTCACAGAAGCTGAGAGTGGAGCCTTTAAATCCAGGTGTGGGGGTAGCTTGTCCCTTCTATGACCTTCTGCTCCCTCTCAGAATTTAGTAGCCTCATTTGAAAAACTAGAGACTCATGATCCTTTAGGTAAGAGGGTTTTTTCCTTAAAATCAAGATTCAAAAAATGGTTGCTATTAGATTGGCTACATTGTAATGGTTATGTGAGTACCTGTATAATGTTCCTAATTTTATCTCCTGCCTAATACTTGAAAATATATACTATCTGGGTCTTTAAAAAAGAAATAAAAGGCTGGGCACCAGTGGTTCATGCCTGTAATACTGTCCATTCAGGAGACTGAGAGCTGAGGATTGCTGTTCGAAGCTGGCCTGGCAGAAAAGTCCTCATGAGACTCTTACCTTCAATTAACCACTCAAAAACTGGAAATAGTGCTCTGGCTCAATTGGTAGAGCGCTAGCCTTAAGCATAGAGAGGTTCAGAGACAGCGCTCAGGCCCTGAGTTCAAGCCCCACAACTGACAAAAAAAAAAAGGCAAGAAAAGTTGCTGACCTTTGTTCTAGGGGTTGACCCATTGGTCTCTTTAATGACTTAAGGTATTCTCTAGAGATTACTTGAGTCTTTCTGAGTCAGTACACTTAGGCATTGCTGGTTCCATAGGTTTCATGTTGTTTGGGTGTTGTACAACTTTGTTATCATTTTCCTGTGTCCTCCAGCTGCCACTGGGCCTTCAGCAGTGAACAACTCTTGATCTACTTAGAACCAGTCAGGGCCTTCAGCTTTTCTCCCTCCAAAGCCCTGTTTGTTTTTTTTCTGGAGGTGGGTTACCTCTGTGACCCTATTATCTTTTACTTCAGGAGACCATCTAGCTGGCTGCCCCCAACAGTGAGTGTGTTGGCTCTGGTGAAGCGAGGGACACCTCCTGAAACTCCTCCCGAAGAGCTTGTGGCCTCAACAGCTAGCACAGTTCAGGCCCATAGGTAAGGGCTGGGAAGGATGTACCTGTGTGTAACTGTGTGTTTGGTTCTATTTGTGTGTTTCAGTATTTGCAGAGTGGACAGAGGATAGTGTAAAAGATTGTGGGCTTGGGCTGGGAAGGTGGCTCAGTGGTAGAGCGCTTGCCTTGCATTCATGAGGCCCTGGGTTCGATTCCTCAGCACCACATAAGCAAAAAGAAAAAAGCCAGAAGTGGGGCTGCGGCTCAAGTGGTAGAGCGCTAGCCTTGAGCTGAAGAGCTGAGGGACAGCGCCCAGGCCCTATGACTGGACCCCCCCCCCAAAAAAAAAGATTCTGGGCTTAAAATTTAAGACTGCTTAGTTTACTTTTCATCTTTCCTAGTTATTACTGTGTGGCAATTATTTTCCAAAGCCTTCATTTCTTTCCTCTGTAAAAAGTGGGTGTCAGGTGTGGTGGCACATGTCCCTAATCCTAGCACACAGAAGGCTAAGGCAGGAAGATCCTGAGTTTGATAACAGCCTGGACTACACTGTAAGACTCTGGTTCAAAAATAAGGAGAGGGGCTGGGAAGGTGGCTCAGTGGTAGAGCGCTTGCCTTGCATGCATGAGGCCCTGGGTTCGATTCCTCAGCACCACATAAGCAGAAAAAGCCGGAAGTGGCGCTGTGGCTCAAGTGGTAGAGCACTAGCTTGGAGCTGAAGAGCCGAGGGACAGCACCCAGGCTCATAGTTCAGGCCCCACAACCGACAACAACAACAACAAAAATCAGGGAGAGAGAAAACTTATAATACCTCTATTACGATTACTGTGAAGATTAAACATTTATTTTTGGCATTTTGAGACAGGCTGGACTCAAACTCATCCTCTTCCTCCCGTAGCCTTGTGAGTGCTGGAATTACAAATGTGCCACTGTACTTGGCTAAACATATTGTTAAAAAAGCATTTGACATATAACAGGTATGTGTACAGTGAGGGATTGTGTGTCCCTTTAGTGGAGACTCACACAATTTTGGCACCAGGGCTTCTCCTTTGGGATAGTTTCTTTTGGTTTTTCTCACTCCATTGAATTAAGCTTCTCAATCTTTCATTCATGAAGTGCATTTAAGGTACTATTTGCCAACCATGCCGGGGAGGGAATATAAAAGTCAACATACCAGAGTTTTGCTCTCAAGGAACTTAAGAGTCCAGTGGAGATATCAATGAATAAGGAACAATTACAACTTAGTATGGTAAGAACTAGGAAAGGGAGGCCAACCCCTTTGGGACCATGTCATCAGGCTTAGTGACTGAGGAAATTCAGTGATGGAGTAAGGGTGTTCATCTGGTAGGAAGAATGGAAGGTAAAGGCAGGGAAGACTAAGTTTAAGTATATGGAGGGGTCAGTGGTCCAGCAAGGGATCTGAGCTTTATCCATGATGTGCTTACTTGTGCTTTAGAAAGATCTGCGATTGCTCTGTGATAATGAGTGTAGGTGGGGGTGGTGACCACGAGAAACTCACGGAAACTAGGTGCTTATTCACAGTCATCTAGAAAGGCTAGTGGATTAAACTAAGATGTTGGAAATTGAGTTGGAGAGACTAGATGGAGCAGTGGGTGATAACAAGTATCTGACAAGCTTCAGTGACTGGATGTGAGGATTGAGATGCCTGAGTTAGCCAGGAGCACCTGAGTGCAAGTGAGCTCTGGTGGCTTACACCTGTAATCCTAGCTACTCTGGTTGGGATCTGAGGATCGCTGTTCAAAGCTATCCTGGCAGGAAAGTCCCTGAGACTTCAATAAACTACTCAGCAAAAGCTGGAAGTGGCACTGTGGCTCAGGTGGTCGAGTGCTAGCCTTCAGAGAAAAAGCTCAAGCCCAGCCCTGAATTCAAGACCCAGGATTGGCCAAAAAATTTTTTTTTAAGTTTAAAAAAAAAAGTAGTTTGCATTAGTTTATGAAATATCAAAATAAAGTGCAAATAAGCAATTGAGAGGATCAACACATTGCCAGATGCAGATGGCACCCATGTCTCTTCTGAAGCCCAGCTGAATCACAGGATCAAACTATGAAGTTGAAGGGTGAATCCCAGGAACAGCCGGGCACCACACCTCTCTTAATTCCAGTGTTTTCCTTTGGCTCCCCTTAGGGCGGTTCGGGCTCTCTGTGACCACACTGCTGCAGGACCTGGCCAGCTGAGTTTCCGGCGTGGGGAAGTGATGCGTGTGATCACAACAGTGGATGAAGACTGGCTCCGCTGCGGGCGGGATGGTGTGGAAGGGCTGGTGCCAGTGGGATACACCTCCCTTGTTCTCTAGGCCCAGGATCCTTTTCTTTCCTGTGTGTTCCCCTTCTGTTAGCTGGGACTGGAACGGCCCATGAACACATAATATGTAATTTAACCATCCCAGAAGCATTTTTTTCCTGTCTGCAAAATGGTATTTCTTCCCACATTTACTTCTAATATTTAAATTTTCCTTCTTCCCTTCATACTGACCTGTTGAGGTCAGATTTGCTCTCCCAGATATATATAAAGGAATCCCCTCTATGCACCCTTTTCCTTTTTCTATCTGTGTATCTGCGAACTAGGATCTAGCCCTCCTCAATCTTCATCCCTAAAGTGGCCTGTGCCAATATGCCTTGGCCCCCAAGCCTAGAAGGGCCTGTAGTCTCCTTTCTCTGTAGGGACTCCTTTCCCATTCTGCTCATCCTTTGTTGCCTGTATTTATGATGTACTCATGCTGTGCTAGGTGCTGAATTCTTTAAACCTCAACACCCCTGGAAGGTGGACCTATGGTGTTGGTCTGCCTCTCTCTCCTCTGTCCCAATAAAGTATGGGAGTTGAATGTGTGTGTATATGACATTGAGGGTTTGATGACACAGGCTTATGGGGGAGGGGAGGAACAAGCTTGTACCAGGAAATATCACATATTATGTTCCTAGTCCAGGTGCATTGAATGTTCCCTGAAGAATGGGTAAATGGACTCTGCTTGGTGCATGAAATGTCACAACTGCTTTCTCTGCTGAGACTTGCTTTGTTCTGTTAGACTGTAGCCTGAGTAAATATGAGAGAAGGGAAATGTAAACTTTGAAGTTGTATTCAGTAGATTCATTGGATTCTGAGGTGAAGGATTAGATATGCAAGAAGTGATCCTTTTCTACGTAGTATTGCCACTCTGCTATAATTTTAAGTAAAAGCAAAATAACTTGCGTCTCTTACTGTTATGAGTTGGTTGAATTTCTTTCGAAATAATGAGAAGAGCTACCATGTTACAGGGTTTGACAATGGGGTTGGGAGACACCAGAATGGGTTGTCTGTAATCAGGTTAGAATAGGAAATTATACAGCAGGAACGTTAGGGAGACATGGAGACCTATGAAGTCAAAGGACTTTTCCTTTATCTTTGGGAACCCGAAGAGAAACTTCGAGATAAAAATCTTAGATTTGGGAGGCTGGGAAGGTGGCTCAGTGGTAGAGTGCGTATCTAGCATGCTCGGAGACCTGGGTTTGATTCCTCAGTACCACATAAACAGAAAAAGCTGAAAGTGGCTCTGTGGCTCAGGTAGTAGAGTGCTAGTCTTGGGCAAAAGAAGCCCTGAGACCATGCCCAAGCCTTGGAGCTCCAGGACTGGCACAAAACAAAACAAAATCCCTCCAAATTTAGATATGCAGCTCTGGATGTAGGAGCAAAACTATTTTTTGGGGGGGAGGGTCTGGTCGTGGGGCCTGAGCTCTGGGCTTGGGCGCTGTCCCTCAGCTCTTCAGCTCAAGGCGAGCGCTTTACCACTTGAGCTACAGCGCCACTTCCGGTTTTCTGGTGGTTTATTGGAGATATGAGTTTCACAACTTTTCCTGCCTGGGCTGGCTTTGAACCTCTATCCTCAGATCTCAGCCTCCTGAGTAACTAGGATTACAGGCCATAACTGGGGGCTGGCTTATACTGAAACTTAGTTGCTACCAATTACTTCTTTGTATCTCTCTCTGGAGGTCAAGGTTCTACATGGGTAGTAATGTGTCTGTCAGTTCTATTGTCCCATCTGTCGCTTTTTTCCCTACATAGTAAGGCTTGGGAAGAGGTCCTCTAAGCCTGGGCCCAGAGCAGGGACTTATGCTGAGCTGTTTATTTTTTTTCCCCCTCCAGGCTTACTGTCCCTCCTGTATCTGCCCACGGGATTCCTCTCCTTGGCAAGGGGAGGCTGCCCATCCTTGTCAACAGAGTTGTTACTCCTGCTGCAGCCCTTGTCGGTGCTCACCTTTCATCTGGACCTGCTCTTTGAGCATCACCACCACCTGCCCCTGGGCCCATCCCAGGCCCCTGCCCCTCCAGGCCCACCTCCAGCCCTGCAGCAGACTGTGCAGGCCATGTTGCACTGGGGGGGCCGGCTGGCCCAGAGTTTCCGGGGGTCTGCTGGGGAGGCTGCTCCTGACCCTTCAGCTGCCTCAAATGCTCCCACATCAGGCAGCTGGTGGGAACAGTTGACACAGGCCTCTCGGGTCTATGCCTCAGGGGGGACTCAGGGCTTCCCTCTTCCCCGGTGGGGGGGACCCAGGAATCATGAAACTGTAGCTGAGAGTACACAGGAGAGACCTCTGCCAGCAGAGCAAGCAGCACCAGGAAGAGGCGTGTGGCTGGGGAGACTCTTCGGCGTACCTGGAGGCCTCACAGAAGCTGAGAGTGGAGCCTTTAAATCCAGGTGTGGGGGTAGCTTGTCCCTTCTATGACCTTCTGCTCCCTCTCAGAATTTAGTAGCCTCATTTGAAAAACTAGAGACTCATGATCCTTTAGGTAAGAGGGTTTTTTCCTTAAAATCAAGATTCAAAAAATGGTTGCTATTAGATTGGCTACATTGTAATGGTTATGTGAGTACCTGTATAATGTTCCTAATTTTATCTCCTGCCTAATACTTGAAAATATATACTATCTGGGTCTTTAAAAAAGAAATAAAAGGCTGGGCACCAGTGGTTCATGCCTGTAATACTGTCCATTCAGGAGACTGAGAGCTGAGGATTGCTGTTCGAAGCTGGCCTGGCAGAAAAGTCCTCATGAGACTCTTACCTTCAATTAACCACTCAAAAACTGGAAATAGTGCTCTGGCTCAATTGGTAGAGCGCTAGCCTTAAGCATAGAGAGGTTCAGAGACAGCGCTCAGGCCCTGAGTTCAAGCCCCACAACTGACAAAAAAAAAAAGGCAAGAAAAGTTGCTGACCTTTGTTCTAGGGGTTGACCCATTGGTCTCTTTAATGACTTAAGGTATTCTCTAGAGATTACTTGAGTCTTTCTGAGTCAGTACACTTAGGCATTGCTGGTTCCATAGGTTTCATGTTGTTTGGGTGTTGTACAACTTTGTTATCATTTTCCTGTGTCCTCCAGCTGCCACTGGGCCTTCAGCAGTGAACAACTCTTGATCTACTTAGAACCAGTCAGGGCCTTCAGCTTTTCTCCCTCCAAAGCCCTGTTTGTTTTTTTTCTGGAGGTGGGTTACCTCTGTGACCCTATTATCTTTTACTTCAGGAGACCATCTAGCTGGCTGCCCCCAACAGTGAGTGTGTTGGCTCTGGTGAAGCGAGGGACACCTCCTGAAACTCCTCCCGAAGAGCTTGTGGCCTCAACAGCTAGCACAGTTCAGGCCCATAGGTAAGGGCTGGGAAGGATGTACCTGTGTGTAACTGTGTGTTTGGTTCTATTTGTGTGTTTCAGTATTTGCAGAGTGGACAGAGGATAGTGTAAAAGATTGTGGGCTTGGGCTGGGAAGGTGGCTCAGTGGTAGAGCGCTTGCCTTGCATTCATGAGGCCCTGGGTTCGATTCCTCAGCACCACATAAGCAAAAAGAAAAAAGCCAGAAGTGGGGCTGCGGCTCAAGTG